GTTATTGTTTACTTAGACATTGTGGGTCATATGCCCATATTTTGAATACTGAAAAAGATACGTAATGTTTACATAATTTAACTATGAGGAATTTGAAGAACAATACCACCACATTTTGGCATACACTGCAGAATGAAAGAATTATATTTAGCATGTGCAACAAGTTATATGCAGTGGTCAGAGAGTATCAACTACTTTGCAAAAAGATTATTGCTGAGGTCAGAAGAGACAGAACGGAGATTTCAGCAGAAAAAGAGAACTTTATCTATAGTGTTTCAATGATCTGAGAATAGAATTGATTCCTTATCCAGTCTCTTTTATGTATCAGCATAATATTTACTGATTATACCCATGTTATATCAGTGAACACAAACACAGATACCTTTACAAATGGACTAATTTTGGAAGGGAATTTGATACAAAGGGTAAGAAAAGAAGCTAACGATAGTGAACATGAATCTATGAAGCATTAAGCTGTTTACTGTGGGAAGGATTTTGGAACTATTCTACTACTCCATAGTCCCTTGCTCCATTGTTGTTACTGGGGCTGAGGAGATGGAGACTGAGGCCCAACGTAGGGGATCAGCCCCGTTTTGGACCCCAGCCCTCCCCTCAACGAATTTTGCAGGTCTTTTCTTCTCCCCCTTTCCTCCACTTTCTCTTTTCCATCCCCTTCTTCTGTCAACTTATCCTAGTCGCAACAATACTTTACCATACTGCTATATGACCTTGATGCCTAGCACATTTATTTGCTTCAACCATTGAAACAGTCTGAAAGACACGGCATATAGAAACGCTAGCAGTTCGTTGAAGAATTGAGTTGCGTAATGGAAAATGAGTTACCATAGTTTACAACGAGAGTGGTCAGTCGTATAATATCAATACTATTAAGGTAAGAATAAGAGATTAGTAGTACGTAGTTCTGTGTGTGTGTGTGTGTGTGTGTGTGTGTGTGTGTGTGTGTGTGTGTGTGTGTGTGTGTGTGTGTGTGTGTGTGTGTGTGTGTGTGTGTGTGTGGGTGCGTGTGTGTGCGTGCGTGCGTGAATCCATATGTATGCCCGGTAATTTAGTACAGTCCCTGCATACGTGATCCTTCTGGGTTATGCCGGTTAAAAAATGCCTCAGAGACGCCATGTCCCATCTCTTCCGAAGAGATGGGACATCTGCGTTACAACAATTACAGAGATGAGAGTAACCCCGCTACTACTGAAGTGTTTAATTCTTCTCAAATTATCCTCTGAAAAAACGCCTCAGCGCTGGCAATGTCTAAACCGACAATTTCGACTCCTGGACCCGAAGCAAGTGTTCCTTATTTGAGACTCGAAACTGGCGCTGTGCATTTGCAACGCTTATGGCGGAACGTTCAGATTAATGTAACTTTACTTTAATAATAAACTTTTTCGCTGATGAAAATTTTAAAAAATTCGCCTCAGCGCTGGCAATGTCTAAACCGACAATTTCGACTCCTGGACCCGAAGCAAGTGTTCCTTATTTGAGACTCGAAACAAAAAACTGTACGGTACGGTACACTTTTTGTTCAGGGTCACTCCTAAAGGTAAGATTTTATTTGATCTGTTTATTTATTGATTTGCACTGCTTTACTCTCCTTATAACATGGACATTCTCTTCCTTAAACTTGCCTACTTTAATCCTAAAATTATAAAGTAATTTGCTAAACTGTTTTTTTATGTCCCGTAAACACTAATGGAAAATGAGATCAATTCCATATGCAACGGAATCAAAAATAAATAATCAGTATATAGATAATTAAATAAACACTATCACTCTTAGGCTGCTCTATCATAATGTCTTCCTAATTAGTACTAGCGTTTTCACATCTCTAGGCTGATTCCCTTGTGCAACGCAGTAACACCCTCCCTTATGCCTTGCTGAAAAACGGGTGCGACACAACCATCCTTCTTCTGCCTTGTTGAAATACTCTACGGGTACATAACACCCGTCTTTATGCATCGCATTAGCAACGGTAAAGGAACACACAGAGTCTATGGGCGATGATGTATACGAGAGTTACGTTGACGGATCCGTACCGTCTGGATACAAAGCTGGTTGTGCTTGTACTGTATACAAAAATGGCTTGCTACATCAAGTTATTATAAGAGTGCACAATTGGGCCAGCACCACACAAACGGAGCTGGCAGGTATACTCCTTGCAACGGAATTCTTAATGTCTCGGGGCTCTGGAGTAGTTTTGTGTGACTCTCAGAGTGCTCTTCGGACACTAAGTTCTTTCAAAGCAGGTGGCGATGAGGAAATTGTGAGTTGCATTAAGCGTAACGTAATTTGTGCAATAGAGCGCAATTTCAACATTCAATTTGTATGGCATACGCAAGCACGACCACGTAGACAAATTGGCGAAGGAAGCCTGCAGCAAAGATACTGTGAACATAGATCTTGGGATGCCTCTTGCTAGGGTTGCACATATATTGAAAAGTTCTCATAAGGAAGAACTAGTAGATCTGACGAACACTCAAAGGCCTGA